TGGTCCTTCGCTAATATTTATCACGTAATCATCGCTCATATTTATAATATGAACGTGGCCCTTCGCTCATATTTATAATATAAACGTGGTCCTTCGCTCATATTTATAATATAAACGTGGTCCTTCGCTCATATTTATCATGTAATCATGGCCCTTCGCTCATATGTATACTATAAACGTAGTCCTTCGCTCAATATTTATCACGTAATCGTGGTCCTTCGCTCTTATTTAAAATAAAAACGTGGTCGTCACTGTTCGCTCATATTTATATTATAAACGTGAGCCTTCGCCCATATTTATCACGTAATCATGGTCCTTCGCTCATATTTATAATATAAACGTGGTCCTTCGCTCATATTTATAATATAAACGTGGTCCTTCGCTATTATTTAAAATAAAAACGTGGTCCTTCGCTCATATTTATAATATAAACGTGGTCCTTCGCTCATATTTATCACGTAATCATGGTCCTTCGCTCATATTTATAATATAAACGTGGTCCTTCGCTCATATTTATAATATAATCGTTGTCCTTCGCTCATATTTATAATATAAACGTGGTCCTTCGCTCATATTTATATTATAATCGTGGTTCTTTGCTCATATTTATAATATAATCGTGGTCCTTCGCTCATATTTATATTATAATCGTGGTCCTTTGCTCATATTTATAATATAATCGTGGTCCTTCGCTCATATTTATATTATAATCGTGGTCCTTCGCTCATATTTATAATATAATCGTGGTCCTTCGCTCATATTAGCCACGTAATCATGGTCATTCGCTCATATTTACAATAAAAACGAGGTCCTTTGCTCATATTTATAATATAAACGTGGTCCTTCGCTCATATTTATAATATAATCGTGGTCCTTCGCTCATATTTATAATATAAACGTGATCCTTTGCTCATATTTATAATATAATCGTGGTCCTTCGCTCATATTTATCACGTAATCATGGTCCTTCGCTCATATTTATAATATAATCGTGGTCCTTCGCTCATATTTATATTATAATCGTGGTCCTTTGCTCATATTTATAATATAATCGTGGTCCTTCGCTCATATTTATATTATAATCGTGGTCCTTCGCTCATATTTATATTATAATCGTGGTCCTTCGCTCATATTTGTCACGTAATCATGGTCCTTCGCTCATATTTATAATATAATCGTGGTCCTTCGCTCATATTTATATTATAATCGTGGTCCTTTGCTCATATTTATAATATAATCGTGGTCCTTCGCTCATATTTATATTATAATCGTGGTCCTTCGCTCATATTTGTCACGTAATCATGGTCCTTCGCTCAT